TCCCTGCAGCCACGGTGGCAGTCGGGGAGGGAGGAAAGGAGACAGGTTACCTCTGGGGTGCCTTCCCCCCAGCAGGCAGAGACACCCCCAGCCCCCAGCACCGTCCTTGCCCACAGCACCTGCCGTTGTTGCAGCCAACACCCCAGACACGGATGTTGAGGATGGGCTGGCGATGGATGAGACTGTGGTCAAGGGGGTCCACCAGGCTCATGGTGTCCTTCTTCAGGATCATCACCAGGTCCTGACCCTGCAGAGGGGCAGTGATTCCTTCAGCCTGGCAGTCATCCTGGGCACCCCCAGCACCCAGCCCATGTGTGGGGGCATCCCTGTCGCCCCAGCCTACTTATCCCCAAGCATGGGCACAGCCCTGTTACCCCCCTGCCCTTCCCAGGTACTGTTCTCATGTGTGGGAACAGCCCACCCAGGCACCTTTAGCACTGTCCCCAAGGAACAGTCCTGTCAGACCCACCTGCCACACACCTGGGGCCATAGCATAGATGGCCTGTGTGCAGAGTTGACTCTGCCATTGGCACTGGTCACTGCTCCCCCAGCATGGTCCCTGTTGCTGCCAGCCTCAGCAGCAGTGGCCCTGGGGTGGGACCCTGCCTGGCAGCACCATCCCAGGCTCTCACCTCACCCCGGTTCTCTGCAGAGCCCTGGCCCTTGCTGTTGGAGAGCTGCTGGATGCAGTTGTTGACGGCGATGCTGCTCTTGCCAGGTGCCAGGTCCTCCTCGGGGATCTCCACCCAGCCCAGCGAGCGCACAGCAAAGCACTGAGCAGAGACGTGGGGCTTCAGTGCCTGGTGGCACAGCCACCTCCGTCCTACGCCCATCACTGTGCCAGCATGGTCACCCCTGCTCCTGCTCCCAGCCACGTCCCTGCCAGCTGCCTCCCCTTCTGCCAGCCCAGCCCACGCTGCGGCAGTGAAGGCAGCGGGTGCAGTACCTTGGAGCCAGGCTCTGCACTATGCTGGAAGTCATCTCCGTGCCAGGACAGCGAGTGCCTGTGGAGGGATGGGGCAGTGAGGGAGGGGCAGCTCCCTCTGTGTTGTCCTGGGGCACCCAGGGAAGCACCAGGATGCCCTGGCACCAGCAGACCCCTATGGCACCAGCTGGGAAGCATCCCATGGAGTGTCCTGTGTGGTCCTGCTGGTTTTAGCATGGGGGGCTGCTCTGGCGGGGGCACTGAGGCCCAGCACCGTGCAGTGGTCAAGGATGAATGGTGTCCCACTGTTTGGGGGCAGAGCACCAGGGTAGCCCTACCTCCGGGAGAGCGAAGCCATGGGGCTGGGAATGGGCCTGTCCTTTGCCACATGTTTTGCTGCAGGGTCCTGGCATTAGAGGCAAGAGGAGAGGAGTGAGGACTGCAAGAGGCTGTCAGGAGGCATCAGGTAGGAGCCCTCCCTCCCAGGACAGCAGCAGGCCTGTGGGCATCCCATGTGGCCTGGATGAAACCAACACAAGGTCTGCTGGAGCTTTTCAGGGGACTCAACCCTGGCCAGGAATGGGCTGAGAAAGACTTTGGGGTGACAGAGTCAGGTCTGCTGCCAGAACCAGATGGACCAGCGATGCTCAGAGGGCTCTTCAGCTCCTGCCAGGGGTGGGATCCAACACCAGCTCCCACCCCTCTGCCCACATCCCCTAC